GAGCGCGGCGATGCCCGCGTTTTAAATAGCGTTTATACGCTGGTGTACAAAGCAACATCAGTCACTCAGCCTATCTGCTGTGGTCGCAGGAGCTTCTGCGAAGTAAGTTGTGCCGTATGGTGTACTGGAAGAAGTTTTGCTTTTTTTATCAGCTCGAAAACAAATATAATCTCTTCTTAAATTTTAGGTTCTCGAGTGTGGAGTTTGTGAAGATGTATTTTCTTTGCAAGGTGACAAAGTTCCCCGGTTGCTTTTGTGTGGCCATACTGTCTGCCACGACTGTCTTACCCGGCTTCCCCTTCACAGCAGAGCAGTTCGTTGTCCTTTTGATCGACAAGTTACTGAACTAGGTAAGAAGATGTAAGTTTAAAGTTCTTGAAGCCTGTCAGCCAAGTATAGCTAGAAGATAATGCTAGATATAGGTCTTAATGTTCCACTTAAGGATAATATTTCCAAGTAATGAAGGTCTGGTGTTCCTTTTCATGCAGAGAAGCTCATAGTGCTGTTAAGCATAAACTAGCAAAACAGGTATCTTAGAAAAAGAAAGTTAAAAAACTGCCTTCATCTTCTTGAAGCTGGGCGTGCAAGTTTGTATCAGGTCTGGCTGAGCTGATTTTCCCGTTGCAGCCTTCCTGGTGCAGAGCTTTTGTGTTGGGAGTTAGAAGGGTGTTGTTAACACCCATGTCGTGGCTACCACTGAGCAGTGCTCACACAGCACCAAGGCTCCTTCTAATAGTCTGCCCCCCTCGGGGGAACAGGGAGGGGCAGGAGCCTGGGGGGAACACAACCAGGACAGCCGACCCAAACTGACCAAAGGGATATTCCACACCACATGATGTCAGCTCAGCTGTAAAGCTGGTACAAAGCAGGAAGAGGGGGGTGCACTACTCCTTGGCCCTCTGGAGCAACCACTATGTGTTTTGGAGCCCTACTTTGCAGGAAGGGGCCAGACATCACCTGGGGATGGGAAGCAGAGAATAAATCTTTGGGTTTTTTTCCCTTTGTGCCGCACATGGCATTGCCTGGCTTTGCTTTCCAATTAAACTGCCTTTGTTTTTACCCCCAAGGATTTTGTTTCCATCTTCCTTTCCTTTCCCCTTATGCTCTGCTGAGGAGGGAGAGGAAAGGGGAGGGTGATAGAGGGGCTTGGTGGGCATGACTTGCTCAGCCAGGGTTAATCCACCACACAGCTTTATGCCTTAAAGTACTTTTGTACAACTATATTTACATGGGGAGTGCTCTGTTTTGAATTAGTGTCTGAGGGTTCCTGAATGGGTATTAATTTCCTGTTGTCCTAAACACTAAATAAACCATGCAGTTAAAGAGGTAGTTTCTTTCACAAATTTGTCTGGATTATGATGAAGTGATATAGAGGGAAGAATCAGCCACAACAAACCTGTTATTTATAATGTAAAGTAGTTCTGTGTATGCTGTAACTGATACTGGCAGGCCATTAATAGGAATTTGCCCACTGTAGGATTGTCTGCAGACAGTATTTGAAAAGATGAGATACATCTTTTATCCAACAGTAGATGTTTATTTTAGGCAAAAGATGACACATGCTTGTAATTCCTTCAGAATAGGAATTGCCTGTTCAACATAGGGTTACAGAAAACGTGAGTTATCAGAATTCATATTGAGAAGAGCTACTGCCTCCACTGGTTCTGAATAGCACAGGGGAAACAAAACTGTTGGAAGGAGGACAGTCCTCAGAGAAGGCGATTAAATTCACTCAGGTGAGAATTTACTTTGCAGTAAGAGAATCTGCTAGACTGTAGAACAAACTGAGAGGAATATTAAAGCACTCTGTGGGGTGTTTTCACAGAAACAGGAGTCAGGAAAAGAAATACCAGTCTCATGAAAGAGGGGTTTGTTTTCTGTGTGAGGGATATGGTAAGTAGGAGCATCGTGAATGATTGCCAGTCTAGAACATGTGGTTAAAAGTCATGATTTGGTTTACTTCTTATCTATGACTGTACATCTGTGTGAGACTTCTTAAAGTATTCTTTTAAGAGGGAGACTGTTAAAGCACAAGACTCAGTCCTGATGTTGTGAAACATTTCTGTCCAAGGCCACTGCTTGTATCTTGTAAAATAAAAGCAGCATTTTTATGCTGACAGGGAACTTGTCATGTCTTAGTTTTTATTGTGCATTTTTTTCCCAGGCATCAGAAACTATCCCATCCATTTTTTGTGGGTTTTGAGTCTAACAAAAATGAAGCTTTATAAAAATATTTTAAGTTTTTTCACCTTACATAATACTGAGTCACTTCTGATCAAACAGTGAAATGTGATTAAACATGTAAGGCTCCTACAGGTAGGAAGAGGGAAGAAAACTGCAGCTCTTGTGTCTGTGATAGTAGACTTGCACCCTGCTGGATGGAGGATGCTATGCTGTGACCAGCAGTTGCTCAAAAAGATGACAAGTAGAAAATTTTAGTAAAACGGCTTGCAAATAAAGCTTCCGTGAAAAAAAATGTTCTGCCTGGTGATTTGGTGCAAAAGAGGCTCATAGCCTGTTCTAGTCTTAACAGGTCCATAAGAAGTGTTACTGCTCCTGGCATGTGAAAGTGGTGTGTTCTGTGGAGTGGAGCTCGTCATGGCCCTTCCTGGAGGCATCTGTGCGTTGTTTGTTGTTTTGCGCTGTTCACTTAGTAGTTACTGGTGTTGGTTAAATCTGCTGCAGCTGTAGTTCTGTTTCCTTCTGAGAGCTCAGGAGTGCTGCTGGTAAGGAGGCATGGCAACTCTGGGCACAGGAAACGTCTTATCCTCCTCTCCCCTCTCTTTGAAGCATGTGAGAGAGCAAGCTCCATTTTCACTCATTTCTGCTGTTTAATGTAGTAGTTTCAGGAAGCTGTTCAGTATCTAAATCTAGATTATAGTATTGCTACCAAGAGAAACTTCTGTTGAAAGAAAAGCTGTGTAATCAAGGTGTAAAGCTACCTGTGTTGAACAAAGTTCCTTGATCAGTAACCATGTGTTGAAATGGAAACAGATCTAATAAAATAATAAAGCAAAACCTGGGTGCCAAGCACTGCCAGCACCTCAGCTGCAGCAGAAGGGTGACAGTCACAGCAGAGAGTTGTCTGCGGGACTCATCAGGGAGTGGCAGCCACCCCAGGAAACTTTCTGATGTGTGGTGAACGTGATGTTAATGGTGTGGAATACTTACGTTGGTCAGCGTGGGTCAGCTGCGCTGGCTGTTGCTCCTCCAGGCTTCGGCACCTGGATAACTCAGAACTACAGACCGTGGTCACTACAAAGACCCACATGCCACAGCTGGCCACAAAGGAAAGCAAAGTGTCATGTCAACTTTGTTCTCACCAAATAGGGTGCTTCAGTCTTCTCAAAAATGCGGCGTTCCTGAATAGAAAACTGGTTTTATAGTTCTATCCCAGCGAAACCAGGGCATCTCCCTTCTGGAGTGGACACTTGGTTTGAATTAACTGGCCTGTCAGGAAGGCAGATTTAGAAGTAATTTGCAACCAGGATTTCTGGAAATACGGAGTTTGCAAGTCAAAAATGACAACAGAGTTTTACATGGTTAGCAAAATATTATAACAGTTCATAGAATCTTGCTAGGAGATAAAATATTTAGTAACTAACTGGTAGGACTAAAGATACTACTTTGCAGAGAAGGCAAAACAGATTTTTTTTTTTTTTGAGTTTTGTTTTAGTTCTTTAATGAAATTACCTGTGATTAATCTTTTTGTGAAGTATTTTAAATAAGTATGTACATGTTGAATGTATATGAGCTGCCTAGTGATTATCTTCAGCTGGATTAACATTCTTTAACCAAAAAGATGTAATGGAAAAGCTTTTCCAATTTTCAAAATTTTTAAGCCTTATATTCTAGAGATTAAGTTCAGTCAGGCAGTACATTTAGGGAAAAATCTGTAAAATGGGCCTTGTAAAAGTGACTCTTCTTAAAGCCTTTTCCTCAAAATATCTTGATTTGGGAGAAGAAGTGAATAATTTCTTGCAAACTGCTTTTTCTGTTTTTCCTGCATTTTGTTGTTGTGTGGTTTTTTTTTGGTTTTTTTTTTTTTTTTTTTGTTTGGTTGGGGTTTTTTTTGGTGTTTGGTTTGGTTTTTGTGTTGTTTTGGTTGTTTGTTTTTTTTTCTTTTTATTTTTATGTGTGGTTTATTTTTTTAAAATACGTGGACCAGGGAACTGTTGAGAAGGATGTGCTTGTGTTACAGCTTTGGAGGCTCTGACTTTTTACTTCAGCTGAGCGGCTGTGTTAAGGAAGCCTTTGACAGTTTATAGCTCAGGTGAACTCTGTGTACCATCCTTATTTTACAGGACTGAAACTATTTTCTGTCATCAGAGTTTATTGAACTGATGTATGCGGGTGTTGGCATCCTTCATGGAATCCATCCTGTTGGTGTTGCTTACATTTATTATTTTGCTAATGTTTGTATGCTAAGGTAAAACTTTAAAGCATTGTGCAAGAAAACGTGGCTATAACATAGTGTTCTCTTGGCTTTGTTCAGACAGGCAAAAATTGGTTCTTTTTATACCTTACATTATTTATAAGCCTTTTGAAGACAAGCTTCATGCTCTTGAAAATGATGTGTTGTTGGCTGGAGTCGGTCTTAATATCTTCACTTTGTCACTATCTCATTCCTGGCTGCCACACTTCCTGCTATTCATGTCTTATTCTTCTTTTGAGAAGAGACAGTCAGATTGTATAGCGGTTTTGTAATGGGCACAAACATCCTTTGTAGGCACAAGGATGAGATCACTAGACTCTTTTGCATTTGTGACCAAAACAGAATTTCAGCTAAAGCCCAAGAGATTAAATAGATGTATTTATACCACTCATCTTTTAGTGGTTTTAAATATAAAATAGCCACTTGCACAGACGTGTTGAAAATGTGTACGTTGAGTACCTAAATTTTGTAGTAGATTTAGTGTAAAAAGAAGCAAAGAGGTGCTTTCTCAAATACATAAACTTCAAGGTAGGTATCAGTGAAATGAGGCATGGCTTTCTGTATGATAATGCATGTTTCGTAGGGTGCATAAAGATTATAAATTCTGTTTTAACAGATTAATAGTTGATATGTAAACTTTGCCTATTTTTCTGTCTGTGTCCAAGGTTGAGGGGACACTGACAATGTGTAACATGTTAGCAAAACTCAGGATATATAATACAAAGTTAAAAAGAAGAGTGTAAAAGTGGTGTAACTGTTTCTACAGTCATCTTTAATTTGTGAACAAGAAGATAATTGCAGAATAGCTACAGAGGTATCATTTCTGTTGTTTACATTTCAGTGAATTAGTTCTGCTTTGACTTTTCTGTCTTGGCTTTCTGTTCGAGCTAGCTGTGGAACAGAACTAAAATGGTTAAAATCAGTTATGAGAGTGTAAACTGAGGAAAGTACTGTTTAGTTTGGTTAGGATTTTTTTTAATAAACATATTAAAACCTGTGAAAGAAAATACTTTTGTAAGAAGCCTTATAATGATTGAACAGCTTGGCATTATCCAGTGATTGCTTAAACACTATGACAATGTTTGCTTAAAGGCTGATCTGCTATAATTTATTTCAGAAGTAGGTTTATCCTTTTGGTGTGTGTGCATCCGTATATACTCTGCTCTTAACATCTACATGGATTAGCAGCTAATCTGGAAATACAAGGTGCAGCTAATCTGGAGATACAAGGTGCACATTAGGATCAGCAGTCATATCAATGTGTTCCTATGGTACTGTTTTAAATACAGTAGTAACTGCAGGTTGTACACAGTTTGCTGTGGTACAGAGCTTTTCTAAATGCTTTAGAAGAGAACCATCTAGCTACTTGCCTTTGCTTGAATTTCTGGGAGTTAGCATCTAGATACAGTGTCAGCAAATCCTGACTTGTGTTTACAAGATGGTTTGACATAATTCAGATTCTAAAAGTGTATATTTTGCCCTGTATTTCTTCAACTTGTAGTAAGAGATGTGCCTTTTACTTATGGATCCACCAGGTGGATCATCTTGTCATAGAATGAGTTCAGGTTCATGAAGCAGGACCTGACTTTAATAATTCTGTGCTGACTGGGCCTGATCACCTGGCTGTCCTGAATACGGTGCGTAATGACACTCAAGATGATCTGTTTCCTGACCTCTGGCACTGAGATCAGACCAACAGGCCTGTAGTTCCTCCTTCTGGCCCTTCTTGTAGATGGGTGCCACATTTGCTACCCTCCAGTCAAGTGGGTCCCCCCTGGTTAGCCAGGACTTCTGATAAATGATGAAGAGTGGTTTGGTGAGCACCGTACCATACTAAGTACTACGAAGAAAATTAACTCAATCCCAGACAAAACCAGTAGAGAAAATAATTCTTAACAAGCTTAAGATGGGAGAACTTGCAGATCTGTTTGTTTTCTGGAGTTCTGTTTGCTTTTGTGTACACTTCCTTAGAAACAATATTGTAACATACCTAGCTCTTAAAATTGTTGCCTCTTATGCAGTGGCTATATTTGAACAGTATTTGTGTAATTCTAGAAAGAGCCTTTATAGCAACATGCACTCTCTTTGTGCTGCAAAACCAGACCTCCCTCTGAGGTGAGAATCCGTATTCTTAGAATCATGAAAGCAATTATTTTCTCTGGCTGTGTAGCAAGCCGATGAGTAGTGAAATGTGAGCATTTGGGATAGGTACTTGATTTTGCTGGTCCTTATAACTGCCTGCTACTCATAGCAGGTGGTGTTTGTATGTTCAGTTGGAACAGCACTTTCACTCTAATGATACATCAAAATCTATGGAATGTTTGATAAATCTCAATATTGAGGTAGAAGGATACAGTATGTCTGTATAGGATCAGTGGGGATGACATCTGAATTTCAGAAGGATGCAGAGGCCATGTGCCTACCAGACCACCACAGGGCAGCATGATACAGGGGTGGTGAAATGGCACTCAGGAGAACCAGACAATTCAAGTAGCCTGGTCTTTCTGTTTGGGAGAACATGTGGGATATGGTTTCTGTGAATTCACATCAGATGCAGACTTCTGTCAGACACCAGATTTGAAAATGTCAAGAGTTTTTAGGCATCATGTGAAATAAACCTCAGGCTCCAGTTGGTGTTCTGATAGTCTTTGAATCTGAATTATGAGAGGCAGCCCATGTATTTCCAGATATGGCGTTGTTTTCTAAAATCGTGTTTTCCAGATCATGCTTGAAGCAAAGCTTAAGTTGAATAAAGCAGTTATTAAATTTAATAAAGAACTCTAGTATGTGGGATTGCTTTTTTTGACTTTTTTATTTTTTTAAAAAATGACAGACCGTAAAGCTGACAGATATTCACTAAAAGTTTGGCTTCTGTTCTTACGTGGGCATGTTTGCACAAACTACAAAACAAATATTTGAATTACAAAAGCAGTATGTAAGGCAATTTTGTCCAGATACTGGTGTCCCACACTCTAAAAAGTAACTGCAGTCTTTGTGAGACTTCTCTTGTCTCACAAACTTAGTTCAAAGGTTCCATCACAAAACACATTAATTCATTTCAGGTCCTACAGATTCTATTTAAATATGAGGTGACATTTCTAGGCACCTGCTAGCTACACAAATGCGTGTCTGTCACTGACATGAGCACTACCAGTGATACTGTGCCTTCTGTCATTCTGCTAAAAGCTAGCAAACCCCCTGACATGGTCTCTCACAAATAAGGATGTAGACAAAGTAAAAAAAGGTAATTCTGGTTATATGTACGAGTTGAGGTACAAGAGGCTTGGGCAGCCCTAAGGAAAGAGATCTGGGGGTTTGGGTTGGTGGCAAGTTGCATGAGAGTCAGCTATGTGCCCTGGCAAAAGGCCAACTGTTGGCCCAAAAGGGCCAACTGTTTCCTAGGGTACATCAAGCACAACATAGCCAGTTGGTCATAGCCAGTTGGTCAAGGGAGGTGATTGTTCCACTCTGCGCTGTACTGGTACAGCCTCACCTCAAGTACTGCGTGCAGTTTTGGGTGTCTCGGTAGATGAAGGACATCAGACTATTAGAGTGTGTCCAGAGGAGTGTGACCAAGATGGAGAAAGGTTTCAAGGGCTAGACTTAGGAGGAGCACTTGAGATCACTTGGTTTGTTCAGCTTGGGGAAGAAAAGGCTGAGGAGTCACATCACTGCAGGCTACCAGTTCCTCAAGGTGGGCCTAGAGGTGCTCATCTCCTCTCTCTGGTGAACAGTGATAGGACATGAGGAAATGGACTGAAGCTATGCCAGGACAAGTTCAGATTGGGCATTAGGAAAAGTTTTTTCACTGAGAGGGTGACTGGTCACTGGGCTAGGCTCCCCAGGGAAGTAATCATGGCATCAAGCATGTTAGAGTTCAAGGATCCTCTGGACAATACTCTTGGTTTCGTTTTTGGTGGTCCTGCGAGAAGGTGAGTGTTGTACTTGATCCCTTCCAACTTGAGATATTCTGTGATTCTAATTCTCTCATTTGGGAAGAGAATGAGAGAAGAGAATGGGTCAGCCAGCTGCAGAAAAGGACCAGGTGGTCCTGATTTACCTGGTGTGCTGTTGCGGCAAAGGAGGCTAATGGTATCCTAGGCTACATTAGGAGAAGTGCTGCCAGCAAGTCCACAGTGGTGGTCCTTCCGCTGTCCTCAGCACTGGTGAGGCCACACCTGGAGCACTGTGTGCAGTTTTGGGCTCCCCAGTACCAGAGAGATGTGGACCTACTGGAGCAAAAGGCCAGTAAGATAATGAAGGAAGTGGAGCATCTCTCATGAGGAAATGCTGAGAGATATTTTGCAAGAATCTGAAGGGAAAGTATAAAGAGAACAGAGCCAGGCTTTTTTCAGTGTGTCTAGTGACAGAACTAGAGGCACTGTGCACAAACTGGAACACAGGACGTTCTTTCTGCACATAAAGAAACAAGTGTGACTGTGCAGCTAACCAAGCTCTGGCACAGGTTGCTCAGGGAGGTGGTGGAATCTCCTTCCTTGGAGATCTTCAGAAGCTGCCTGGCAACACACTCTAGGTGACCCTGCTTGAGCAGGGGTACTTGTCAAGGTGATGTCCAGAGGTCCTTTCCAAACCAACCACTGTGTGATTCTGAAATGACTAAAATAATCCAGTGCTGAAACATGATGCTTTATCTCTTGAGGCATATTTACTCTGAAACAGAGAAAATATCTTTAAATTTATGGTGAAAAATATAAATTAATGATAAAAAAAGGTCAAGGGATGACACATCTTTGGAGAAGGAATCACTAGGTTTCTCATATGCTACATGGCCTGTACAGATAGCATTTAGAATCATTGGAATGCAATTCTGGTTCTGCTTCTCATCCTTTTCCCTCATGTTAACCTCTAATCCTCAAAATGAGGATGATACAGGAGTAGATATGGGTTTCTACTTTGCTCTGGGGAGTATGAGACATCTCCTTTTTTGCTTTATCAAGTAGTGTTGTACCCAGATCTTTCTTTTGGAAACTCATTCAGATTTTTACTGGACTGAGATATGCAATAGGTGTTGCACCTTGTGATTCAGGGAATATGAAGTTTGTCTGTGTGACAGCATCTGCTAGCACAGAAATCTGAATTTATGAACATTTTACAGAAATGTTCTGTTAGAAATGTTCACTGTATGTAGTTATGCATAATAATTTTTATGATACATATTGCAGTTTGTGTGTTCCTTGTAGTCTTTAATTGTTAGCTAATTTGGATTATTTTACAAGTGGTTTTACTGAGTTTTTGTAAATTTTTAATAGTCTTGGTGTCTTTCAAGTAGGGAAAATCTGCACAAATATTAAATTGTTCCATGGTGGAAGGAAGGAAGAGGATGGAAAGCTAGTGTGAGGTTACATAGTAAAAGTGGTAGTTATATCTCACACTAATTAATATCATGGTAGTTAATGTGTTCTTAATATTTGTCAGAATCTCAGCTGTGGTTTGTGGAACTTCTCATGATGGTGTTTGCTTGAGGTTTTTCTTCCTCTCCTCCTCTTCATTTAACTCTTCCTCAATAATAGGAGATTCTGGTGTCTGGGGCTTGAAAAAGAATTTTGCTTTGTTGGAACTCTTGGAACGATTACAGAATGGACCTGCTGGGCAGTGTGGGACAGCAGAAGAAACCATTGGTCTATCTGGAGAGGTACTGAGTTTTTAAAAAAAGCAAAAAAAAGTTTGTTACATTTGCTTGAAGTAAAAAAAAAAAAAAATCAGTCCTTTGCCAAATGTAGTTTCAATAATAACGTTGTTGCTTTTTTTCAGTATCTGGTATTAAGGCTTCAATTAATTGCTTCATAATTAAATGCTAATCTGTGCTGACTAAGCAAAAAATAAAAAGGTATTGGCAAACAGGCATACTTTCCCCCCTTTTTTAGGCTTTTAAGATTTCCAGAAAACATTACTCATTTGGGTATTTTAGTTATAGTAATTTAAGGACAGTTTTCTCAAATTTCTTAGAAACTCTTTCTAAAGACTTCAAATATTCTTCTTGAGTAGTTGTTTTTTATAGTCATTTGATATCACTACATCATGTGATAGTACGTAATTATCAAAATTAGCTGTTTTAATTATTCTGACATTAACAGCTGGTATTAAACTATCATGCAATGCCATTCCAGGAATAGAAAAGTGCCTATTTGTCCACTGGTGTTTCATCTGTCTGGAAGTTTGTAATTCTTTGTTCCATAATGACTGCTTCAGAGGAGATGACAGGAGCGTGAGTTCTTTTATCCTCCAAACCTTTACAGCTTCCACGAAGTTCGGATTTATAAAATCACTGAACACCTGTAGAGTAATTTATTTGAGTTGGTCATAAAAGAAACGGTGTTTTATTTTTTAAAAATATACCGAGAACTTAAAATCAGGCTTTCAAAGTAGCCCAAGTGTTTATTAGTGTGTAACATTTACAGCAAGCCTGTTTTCAAGCTTGTATTCATGGCAGGTCTTCTGAGTTTCCTCAGTTATTTGGATTAAATGTTAACCTTTTTTTTCTTTTTTTTTTTTTTTTCCTGTTAGAGTATCATTCGTTGTGATGAAGACGAAGCCCACGTTGCATCTGTATATTGCACTGTTTGTGCCACTCACCTGTGCACAGACTGTTCCCAGCTTACTCATTCTACAAAGACCTTAGCAAAACACAGGCGTGTACCTCTTGCTGATAAGCCTCATGAGAAGACCATGTGCTCCCAACACCAAGTGCATGCTATTGAGTTTGTTTGTTTAGAAGAGGGCTGTCAGGCCAGTCCTCTTATGTGTTGTGTCTGCAAAGAATATGGGAAGCATCAAGGTCATAAGGTACTGCTAATAACTATTTCTACTCCTGCTCTGGGGTGGCTTGGATAATTGTCCAATTAAAGTACAAAAGATTATCAAGAAAGTCAGGTAGATTCTTGTTATGTCTTTATATAAGTAACTTCATACTGTTCTTTCATTTTCCTTTCATTTGAGATAACTGCCATGATAAACATGGAAAAAAAAAAAATTCTAAGACCACAATAAGTTATTTATCTATTAAGATGGAGAGTCTCTTTATGTGATGCTTTTCTGAACTTGTCACAGCATTGAGTCAGCAGTTCTGAAAGTTGTTTTTGTCACACAAACACTAGGCTCATCCAACCTGGTGCAGCCTATCCACCTTTCTCTTTTTCAATACTTGACTATGATAAACAGGAAATTTGTATATTTACCTGTGTAATTGATAGATGCTTATCTTAGTCTCACTATAATCTGTAACTCCTGATTGCATTTTAAATTGCAGGATGGTTTTAAATTCCTACCTGCCTTTCCTCTGTATAGGTATATATGTGTATGTGTGTATGTACATAAACATACACATATATATTAAAGGTGTAGTAAAATAGAAAATATTATTGAGGAAGATACTTATAATTGATCTTTGATATCTTGCTTTTAATTAATAGCATTCTGTCTTGGAACCAGAAGCAAACCAGATTCGTGCATCCATTTTAGACATGGCCCACTGTATAAGAACTTTCACAGAAGAAATCTCAGATTATTCCAGAAAATTAGTTGGAATTGTGCAGCATATAGAAGGAGGAGAACAAATAGTTGAAGATGGAGTTGGAATGGCCCATACTGAACATGTATGCATTTTGTTTTTTTCCCACATCCATGGGGTATTTGCTTTTTGTGATAATGAAGATAAGGAATTTCTTTGAAAATTACACGTAGGTTTTGTAAGACAAGACGTTATGTTCTTATCTTTACCAAGTCAGTGTTGAGGCTTAAGCCAGCAGATGGAGGGTAACTTGTAGACCATTACAGTGATTTTAAGCTATGTGGAAACAGGGGGGCAGTAGGGAAGGCTGTGTAACTGCTAGTACAGTATTGAAGTACTGTGACAGATTGCATCTGTTCTCAGGTGCTGTGATACTACTGAGGCTTTTTTCCCTGGTCATTTTTAGAAAGTTGTGTATCCATACAGATAAGGTACTTTATTATTGGAGCAACCTCTTGAAGGAGCTTGGTCTTAGGGCTGATAATACTTTCTGTATAACTAGTACTTGAACTGTCATGTAGTCAAGGAGATGTGAACTTAAGTTAGAAAGTGGAATGAAATGAAAAATGTACTTCTGGAATCAGCTGGTGTCCCTCATGCTCTGGATTTCCTGGCTGCAACACTGTAGGTACCAGGGACGGCCGAGAACGCGCGCTCGTGTGTCCGAGCCTATTTTTCCGATCTTCATGAAACCCTTTGTCGTCAGGAGGAGATGGCTCTTAGTGTTGTTGATGCTCATGTGAGAGAGAAGTTGATTTGGCTTAGGCAACAACAAGAAGACATGACCATCCTCTTGTCACAGGTTTCAACAGCTTGCCTTCACTGTGAAAAGACTTTACAACAGGTAGGTTGGCCAAGTGAGCTGTGAAACATGGTGAGGTACATGGAACTGCAGATTAAGTGTAGGCTACCCATGGAAAAGTTAGGTGATACTCTGCATTTGTATTTCCTTTGCAATGTTGAAACAATAATGATTTAATGTGAGATTGAAGTATTCATTACAAGAGGGTGTTAAACAAGGTTTGTCAGTACAAAGGCATCAAGTACTCCAGTTGCTGGATATACTGTGACGTGATTCTCATGTCTGGGGTAATTTTTTGTTATTTGTGAGGTTAGTGGGAAGGAGAGATGAAACTGAAGAAGAAACCTACCAGTTTTACGGGAGACTTTACAGTTGCAGTTACCAGTGTAGGTGTTTGAAGATAGTTATATAAGGCTGGTATGAAAAAATATTTCAGAACTCTCTGTAGCACTTGTAATATGGGTAATTCAACATACTAAATGTGTGAAAGAAGTGGTTGTGTGAGAGCACCTGTTGGTACCTGTCCATTCGCTTAATTTAGTGATAGCAGGAAGTAAATAGTGTATGAAACCACAGTCAACAGTGTGCAAAATTACTTCATAAATGTGATATTTTTACTTTTTTTTTTTTTTTACAATTAGTGCATGGTTGCTTAGTCGGGTGTACTTTTAACTGTGCAAATGGTCTCATCATCAATGGATGTATATTGATGTTTTTGTGTTGTGTGCTGCAAAGCAGCTGCTCTATTTCAGCTGCTGGAATAATACATGAATTCTGGAAATATTCTTTATATATTAGTGTCTCTTACAGTCTTATTCCTACAGCACTAAGGGAGGTCAAAGATAAAGCTTTTTAAAATTGTAGAACTATTTATTATCTATTATAATTAAGGAGGAGTGACAAGGGCTTCACATCTGTATTACAGTTTTAAATAAATCTATTTTGTAAATGTGAGTTTCTTTAACTAGAGTATTTCTATTTAAAAAGCTTTATTTCTAGCCATCGTATTTACATTGTGTTTTGTTATTTTAAGTAAGTTGTTAAAGGAAAGTCACGCTTTTGTTTTCTTTGCCTGTTTAGGATGACTGCAGAGTAGTGTTGGCCAAACAGGAAATCACAAGACTGCTAGAGACATTACAGAAACAACAGCAGCAGTTTACAGAACTTGCAGATCATGTACAGCTGGATGCTAGCATACCTGTCACGTTTACAAAGGTACTCTTAATCTCATGAATATATCTGTCCACCCTATGAAGTCCCAAATATAATTTAAAAGAAAGCAGGAATAATGTATGTTCGTTGTGATGCTGTGTTTGTTGCAGCAAATTGGGGCAGTTCAGAATCAGAGCCACAGTGTCGTAACATATGATGAGTGCCATCTCATATTTGAGCAACAAAACTGCTGTGCTGTTGTTGTTCATTTGACATTGAGTACATCAGCAGCTTTGTTTGAGTATTAACTGTTCTCTTTTAAAACTCTAAGATAGTGTTTGTGAATTCTGGAAGCACCTTTCTGTGGAAACATCCCTTATATGTTGTGCGTTCAACTCAGATTGGGAGCCTACCCTGTGTTTTTCTATGTATTTTTGGCTTTTTCATGAGGACAGCCTAGCTTGTGCAGAATGTTTATAGAAAGTTTATTTCCTATAAATTGCACACTTGTTTTAAAGTTCAACAATGCTATCATAACTTTCAGTTTGTAATACTAAAAGTAATGTATTTCTTTTAATTCATTAGGTGATAATTTGTGTTGTAGTTGCTTTGTATTCACTGATAGTTTAGACAGTGCATGTTCTGAGTAGCATTTTTTTAATTGCACTAATATCATTTCAATACCACCTGTTCTTTGGAAGTGATGAAATCATTAGGAGTTTGATAATTGTGATACGTTTCTTACATAGGAGAGTAATTAAGTTTGAAACCCTAAAGAGCAATAAGTGCTTTGATTTACGGAATTTTTTGTTCTGAATGGGTGAAAGAGCAATAGGATCTGTCATTGCTGAGACGAAACTGAGCATTGACTGTTGCTGTTGAAGCCTTCACTGTGAGGAAGTGGATGCTTCAATGAGGATTCTTGTCCCAGGCCTTGTTGGAGTCAGAAATTCAGTTTCTTCCAAATAATTTATTTTGTATCTTCAGTGTATTTGAATTCCTGAATGACTGCTTTGTCAGATCAATAAATGCAACATTTTCACTTCTGCCCCTCCCTTCCCTCTTCAGCAGAGACCAGAGCTGGTGGGGTCAGGGAGATCTCTTCTCGAAACCCCCACTGTTCTGTGCATGAAGCAGCATTCACATTTCAGAGATGATGAATGGCATTCTGTGTGTACAGAGGTGATTGAAGCTACCATCTCACAGCTCCGAGTCAGGGAGGTGTTTTTGTGTCTGTGTTTGAATTTAGGAGCTGTTAATGTGACTCAGAAAATTCTGATTGTGAATTTTGGAGCATTTGGAAAGGGAATGGTTGTAGACAACTAAGCTGTAATAGGGTGTCTGAAATAGGTCTCAGCTTGGGGGACTCAGAAGCCTTCAAGTGTATCTCTACACCTCAGTTTTCTTCAGAAAAAATGGGTCTTCTGTTGTTATTCTACTGTGGCAAATTGGTATTTTTAGGAAATCTGAAGCTTACATTGTGAATTTCAAAAGTATGGAAGCAAATGTCACTTTTCACCAAAACAAAAACAGCCATGGAAAAGGTGAAAATAATTACTTCAGTCTCTTAGTTTTTGTGTTTCTTCATTGCTGACAAAGTTCAGTGCTCTCTTTCTGCACAATGTGTTTTTAGAACACTATCATGTTGATGGCCAGTGTTGTGACTTGCAGTGAGGCTTGTTATTCCTGAATGGTTTGTGCAACAGATTTCAGACAGAAATGTGTCTTCAGGTCAAAAACTGTTAAATTGTATTACATCACTGAAAAGGTCTTTCTCAGGAACTCTTGTGCACTGACGGCTGCATCCATTATAAAATTAAAAAAGCATTTCAAACAGTACCACATCAGAGGAACATTCTATATCCAGTGAAAGCTGTGAAGATTTAAGAAGAGGAGGGAACAGTCCTTTTCACTATTGAAACTGGGTAGGTTTTACCCACATTTTTTGTTTCACTGAAGCATGGGTAGTGCTGTTCCCTCCTCCCAAACCCTCAAGGGAAATGCCACATATAAAGCTGCGAAGGGACAGTGTGGATAATTTGAGGACAAGATGCTGAAAATCTTTCTACAAATATGTTAGGTTTGGTTTTTTTTCACCAGATGTTGTTACTATATTGTTTCCAATGGATCCGTCTTTCCGTATGTAG